ATACTATTTAATTATATAAAAGGCAGGTAATAAAATACATTTCTCTCTTTCTAATCAGGCAGTGAGGCATAAACTGTTGGGACATACCGCTCGGGGCCACTGCTGTCTGGGACTGAAACACTGGCATTGTACTGCATTGGTCATTGGCGTTCGTGGATGTTGGCATTGGGCATGGGCATTCAATCAGAAGTTGTCAAGTATTGTACCCGTTTGGCAACGAGCACATTTTTGGGCATAGCCAACCAGGGTTTTCACATGGGCGTTCAGGGGCGGATGGGCCAACGTCATGGTGGGCAACGCAGGGGTAAGTCGATCCAGTACATGGGCAACGGAGATATATGGCCAAAAAAACAAGGAGAGGGAAAAGGGGGAAAAGCAATAAATTTTAATTTAATACAAACTATACTCATACTCTCAATTAATGAAACAAGCTTAAGTTGTTCTGAAGACTAACACAATAATGGACTTCTCTATATCTGACTGTGGCTTAACATTTAAGGACCTTAAATGATGGTTCTAGTTTTGTTTTGTTTTGTTTTTAAAATGTTTCAGTAGCAGGCTGGCTCGTGAGGGTAGACACAAAACCTGTCATGACTCAAAAGTTTACTGAAATTCTTGAGGAAAATGGGGAAATAACCCAGATAATTATACAGAACATCTGGATTAAGAGGAAAAAGAGGTTCAAAGACAAAACAAAAACTCCCACACCAAACCCCCAACTAGTAAGACTTTCGGTTTCATGAGGTGTAAAACACATTCGTATATCTCATAAGCAGGCTTATAAAAATTAAAACAAAATTTAAAGTTTATAGCAATCAAGAGAAACACAAAGATCTGTTACCGAGAGAGAAATGAAGTACTGTTAGGTACTCAACACAGTTATTCGCCTTAATTTTACCAAGATAAACATTAAGAAATTTTGGTGTAGTCAAGTTCTAGAAATACACACACACACTTCTGGTGCTGCCAACATTTAATGTGTCTAATCACAAGAGTCAACCCACTATAAATTACGAAGACTCAAATTCCAGGCAGTTTCGATTGCCAAGATTAATCTATTTGTTATCCACGTTTAAAAATCAGTTAACATTAGCTCCATGTTGCAAGCTGTGGAACAGATGAACTATTTTTTTTTAAAGAAGAAAATAAGTTGGTTTTTATAAGCCATCTTCAACGGCTTTCAGTAACACCTGGTTCCCTCTCACACATACAAGAGGAATGATGCAATTAAGAGTTTTTATTACACTTAGTCTCTATTTCTAATTAAGATGTTTTTTATTTGAAGTGAATTAATTTGAAGGGCCTTATCAGAAAATGAAAAGATTATTTACGTTCCACCTTAATCAGGGTTTTAAAAAAAAGCAGGAATCATCTATATAACCATTAATTATCACAAATGGTTTGTAGCTGCATTCAGTGATTTCTAAGATGTGAACCTTTAAAATTCTAGAAACACAACGAATTTGCTTGTTTAGTACTTTAATACTTACGTCTGTACGGAGAGCCTTAATATTCTTGCCTCCTTTTCCAATCACTGCCCCAGCATTCTGGAACAGACAAAACAAACAAACAAAAAAAAACACCTCACTTTGCGTTTCCATAAGATTAACAGTTACACCAGTATCTTTTAAACTTCAATAACAAATCTACTTCAGAATGAGTGGAAACAAAGATTCTACTTCCTGAGTATGAATAATTTTACAATAGATTGTTGGAATATTTACAACATCAGACATGAGTGTAAAATTCCTAGAAAGTATAGATTACTTTACAAATAAAACGGAGTACAATCTACGCAGCAAATACTTTTATTGTGACTTGAACAAAGTTATAAGGTAAACCTAAATAAACTAGTTCCCCAGGGAAACAAAACTAACCAATATCTAAAAATTCATTGCCTAGAGTCCTGCTCATTCCTCAACTTCATCTTTGGTGGACCCTGGTAATAGGGTTTCATACCTTCCAAACTCCAGCACCACCCAGAGTTCAGAAGTCTTTATAATGAACCAAACCAACTAAATGGGAAAATACACATCTGTAATCCTGGTACTCAAAAAGGCAGATGATCAAGTGTTCCAAGGCCAGCCTCACCTATATAAGATCCTGTTTCAAAACAAATCTACGCCGGGCGGTGGTGGCGCACGCCTTTAATCCCAGCACTCGGGAGGCAGAGCCAGGCGGATCTCTGTGAGTTCGAGGCCAGCCTGGGCCAACAAGTGAGTTCCAGGAGAGGCGCAAAGCTACACAGAGAAACCCTGTCTCGAAAAAACCAAAAAAAAAAAAAATCTACAAAACTTTAATAATAAAAGCTCTAAAAGCTTTCCAGGGAGCCAAATCAGGGCTTAAAGTGAAATATTTTAATTTAAGAGGACAAAATGTGTATTTATACCTTGCTCTGAAGCAAAATGCGCAGTTCAACCATCTCATCAGTATTTCTAGATCTTTTAAAGGCTTGCTCCTCTTCCATATCTTCTGCAGGGCGTTTACCTAGAAATTAAATTTATATTTTAAATTAGAAATATCCACAAGAAAGGGTAGTTTATATTTTAAAATCCCTGCTATTTTCTCCGTCTTTTCCCTTTGTAAGGTCAAAGATCATTATTATAAACACTTCAAACTATTAAAAATTTGGGTGAAAACAATTTTTACTGTCTAAGACAAGGTTACTTCCTATTCATAAAAACCAAGAAGTAACAGAATCTCCAGACTATGGAATTATAGTTATGTATGAGGTAACCACAGCACATACAAACTACCATGATACTGAAATTAACACATGTATGTATAATGGCTTATAATTAAAATATCTTCTCACCAAATTCACCATTGGTTTCGGTGTTGGGGAAGGTTTCTTCTGGCTGCTCGGTCTCCATTTTCTTGAATTAAATGGATACACCAATCTGTAAAAAAATAAAGAAGCTAGTTCACTTGGCTTATGGGAAAGCAAACACTATCTTGCTTAAAATCTTTAAAAGGGATTCTGGTTCCAGAACACAGACACACAGCCTTGAAGAGCAGAACTGAGACCCTAGGTCTACAGTAGTCTATAAAAACCAACAGAAATCAGTTTTGCCTTTCATTATTTAATACTAATTAATATTGGGGTCGCAGGTCTCATTTGAGGAAGCGGGAAAACCAGGTGTCTCAACGAAACACAGCAGCCCAACTACCTCCACCATCATTGAGAAGCCCGTTTTCCCGCAAAACAATTAGTAATCCATCCTCAACCAACTTCATTTCATTACAACTGCAAAGCCAGCCGACCAAAATTTTGCTCACAAAACTAATTCTTGAAAAACCGCACCTTATCACAAAATCAGACAACTATTACTGTAAGACTAGTAGTAACTGGATTTCTTTTTTGGTTGACGACACCATTCAATGAAATCTGCCCAGTTTACGAATATGGCAAATACAAAGCTGCTCTCAGCGTCCACAGGGAGAAATCTAAGGATCAGACTCAAACTACTGCCACTATCCAGCAAAGCTAGCGGAGCCTTTAACCACCACCACCATCATTATAATTTTAAACGGTGCTAAAAAGGCTACAATTCAACAATTCCACCTCTAACACGACGCTCAAAGCCTGCTACCAAAGCGACGTAACTTGAGGCCGTACCGCGGTCACAGCACAAGTGCCGAAAGTCAAGGCATCACATTTAAGCCGCCTCCTATTCCAAAACGCTGGCCGGTGGTGTCAGCGTAAGGGCGGCTTGAACCTCCCCACTCCGTCTCCAGCCGCGATGGCCAATAGCCCCGGGCGTTGAAGACAGCCCGCGCCCTGCAGCCGCCGGCCCCGAAACCCGCTAGCACCAGCGGGACCCGCCGAGCCGAAGCTCGCACACCGCCCGCCTGCCCACGGCCCGGCCCTCCGGAGCTCAGCCCGTCGCCGAGCGGCGCCGCGCCTCTCCTCACCCGGATCCGACAGGAAATGGCGGCCCGCGTAATGGCGACTACGTGCGACTAGGCGGAGCCGCGCGAGACCCCCTCCCCCACCCAGCACGCGGGCCCGCGGGCTCGTCCCCCGCACCTCCCCCACCGCCCGAGACAAAGCCGCCGCCGCCGCCGCCGTGCCATCGGCCCTGCCCGGGGCCCACGCCGCGGAGGGACAAAGGGGGCGGCGGGGCCGCCGCGGCCCGCGCCCCCCCGCCGGCCGGCCCGCGCCCCCGGCTCGGCCCTGGGCAGGCCTCTCCTCACGCGCCCCCGAAGCCTCGAGCGCCCGCACGCCAACTGCAGAGGCACGCTCGGGGAAATGGCGGCGGTGGGGGAGGGGAGGCCGGGCCCCGCTCCCCGGCGGGCCGGCGGGCGGGAGGGCGGGCGAGCGCCGGCCGGCCCGAGCCCCTCCCGGCCGCCGAGCCCCGGGGGTTCCGGCCCCGCTCCCACACGCGCGCGGCTCGCCCGGCCCCGCTCACCGCGCGAGTCCGCCGTTGCCTCCCGGCCGCGCCGCCTCCGACGGTCGGTCACAGCTAGACAGAGAACCAGGGCCAACCCCCTCCCGCCTCGGCGTCGCGCCCCATTGGCTGCCCAGGCTTCGGCGGTGGTGCGAGGGCGCAGGGATTGGCCCGAGGCCGCGTCAATGACGGCGCCGAGAACCCCGCCTTCCGCCGGCGACTCCCTTTGGGCTGCAAGGCCGCGGGCCTGAGAAAGCCCGGGCTTGGGGACAGCCCGAGCCGCCATCCCGGGACGCCAGCCCGCTCCCCGGACCCGCCGCCCCCGAGGCCCCGCCGCCCCATACCTACAGGCCGCAACCGAGAGAGAGGCGAGCACGACGGCGACGTCCGTGCAGCGGAGAAACAGAGGATAATGGCGTCTGCAGCGCTGTCGCCTGGAGCGCCCTCCTCCTTTCTCGTTCGCGCACTCGGGAGTGAGGGGGAGGGGAAGAGGGGCACTCCTCTCGCGAGATTTGAAGCGGCTGTTCTCGCGTGCCGGGAGGGGGCGGCGCAAGGGTGTTTTCGAGCCCCGAGGCGGGTTTGTGGGATTGCAGGAGGGAGGCCGGTGCGCGCCAAATTGGGCGGTGAGAAGTGAAGGGAGGGAGAGAAAGCGCGAGAACAGTGAAGGACGCTCAGGCGGGCCCGGCGGCGCCCTCTCCGTCGCGCGGCCCCGGGACGAGGCGGGACGGCCAGGTCGGTGCTCGGCCGGGGGTCCACCGCTGCCCGTCGCGTCTCGCTCGCTCCCAGCGCGGCGGGGTCTGCGGCCCCTCGGCTGGGCCCGGGAAACCCGCTGTGCTAGCGGCGCGCCGGGCGGAGCGCGGGAGGACGCGGCGGCCCTCGACGCCTCAGCCCGCCGCGCGCCGGCCTGGCAAGGCCTTCACGGCGCCGTCATTGATCCTGAGAGGACTCCGGAGTCGCTTTCGTGTTGGTCCCGTAGAACGCAGACCGCAGAACACGGGGTACGCCTTGGAGCGCGCCCCGCGGTCTTGGGACCCCTTCCCCACCCCGCCCTCCAGGAAGCCCGCAGGCAGTGTGGCTGACCAGCCAGGGAAGGGCCGGCTAGGTAGTCCCGACTCGGTCACCTTCAGCGTCTTACCTGCTGCCCCCAACTCTTGCTGAAACGTCAGGCTGTGGTCTGGAAGTGGTCTCTAATGAGGGAGGCTTTGCTGCTGGTTTCAGTATGTATACCATAAGTATACACGCCCTTTAAGTAGCTCTGTCGTGTAGTAGTTGCGTTACCTTTTACTTACTTGACAGAAGAAAACTGGGAATTGAGGATTTGATGAAGCACGCAGTGAGGGTGGATGTGAGAATGGTTTTGAGACAGTCTATGTAGCCCTAGCTGCGGTGGAATTTACTGTGTAAATGAGACCGGCCTTGAACTCACAGATAATCCACCTGCCCCTGCTTCTCATATGCAGAGATTAAAGGTGTATGCCACCATGCCTGGCCCAATTTTTTTTTTTTTTAATTTTTTGGTTTTTTGAGACAGGATCTCACTATATACCTCACAACCGCCTCCCTCTACCTCCAATTCCCAAGAGTTGGGGATTAACGGCGGGTATCACCACACCCCAGCAAAAGTTAACTCTTTTTTTTTTTGGCTTTGTAAATAGTGATGAATGGGAATCTAAAGGAAACTATACTGGAAATCTTGACTAGACTCTAATGAAAAGTTACTTTCTCTAGACTCCATTATGGGATTGTTAATGCCCTCAGCTCCACCCATTTGGTTTCTTCTCTTTTTTTAGGTTTTCTCTTTGAGTAACTAAAAGTTTGTCTCTCCTCCATCCTTCATTTTCTATTTGAAGTTGGAAGTTTTCAATTCATTATCAAAACCTCTGCTCAGTGGCATAGCACTTAGACTGTGGAGGCCCTGGATTTGGGTGGCACAACAAAGCCTGTGCCAGTTTGCTTCATTTAGTGGCTCCCGGGTATACCAGGAGTTAATGGTTAGATTGTATAGTCTAATGATTTAGTGTCATTTGGAACCAGTATTACTTGACTATGGGATTTAGTATAATTGGAACTGTACAGTAAGTAGCTAGTTGGAATAATAGTTAAAATACTATAGGTACCAAATCCGGCATTCTGTATTGTATGCCAGAGTTTGTGCTGGCAATTTAATGCTTATCACAGTTCTTTGAAAAAGTTGTGATTATCTTTGTTTTATGAGTGTGGTTGTTCATGCCTTTAACCCTAGCACTTGGGAGGCAGAAAAGGGTGGATTTGTGAGTTCAAAGTCATCCAAAGTGCCATATAGTTAAACTCTAAGAAAAAAACAAACACAAAACATAAGGGGGCGTGGCAGATGAGTGGATCAGTGGTTAAAGGTGCTTGATGCCAAGGGCAAGCTTGTTGTAAATTCCATCCCCAGAATCAATATGGTGGATGGAGGGAACTGACTCTCAAGTCGACCTCTAACCTCCACATGCATGTGTGTATCACACACACACAATGCAAAAAATTTAAAAAATATTGAGGATAAGAACCATATCCATGGTCATATAACAGCTGGGTTGCAGACTCCTAAATGGAATTTTCTCTCACTTTTCTGGTTTTGGAGGGTACACAAACAGCTCCTGTTTTTTCATCCCTGATTTTTTTTTTTTGAGTGCCTTCTTAAAATTCAGAAATGACCTTGAAGTCTTTAACAAGTTACAATGGACTTAAAATTTTATTACATCGTGTGTGTGTGTGTGTGTGTGTGTGTGTGTGTGTGTGTGTGTGTGAGAGAGAGAGAGAGAGAGAGAGAACGAGAACATGCACACATGTCATACAAGTGGAAATCAGAGGGCAGCCTTGTGGAGTTGGATCTCTCTTCTACCATGTGGGAACCATTGAACTCAATCATTGAATTCAGTCATTACTCTTAGTGGCAGGTACCTTTATCTGCTGAGCCATCTAAAACTTTTTTAGATGAAAATAATATGTATATAGTGGCTATAAATCTTTTGACAGTGCTTTAGAATCTCAACTATTGGTTGGATGTCAAATACACTATCTAGGGATGGTACTTTTCCACTAAAAAAAATTTTTGAGGCTGATTGAAAATTAATCATTGAGCCAGATGCCTAAACCTCAGTGACAAGTAATAGAACTTTTCTACTTTGTTCTCTTCTGTTTCATTCTTAGTAGTTGGGATTTAGAATGGAGATTTGTACAAACAGCCAAATCTATCAGGTACAAAGGTTAATGAAAATATTTTCTTACCATAAAAGTTAAGTTCTGTAATTTTATATATGGCTATTATACTAAGAAAACATGAACATATTTTCATGTCATTAGTCCCTAAAAACCTCTTCAGAGCTGGGTGTGGTGGCTCACGCCTTTAGTTCCAGCACTTGGAAGGCAGAGGCAGGCGGATCTCTGAGTTCCCGAGGACAACTTGGTCTACAAAGAGAGTACCAGGTCAGCCAGGACAACACAGAGAAACCCTGTCTCAAAAAACCAAAAATAAAAAATAAATGGAAAAAGAAAGAATAAAAGAAAAACAACCCCCCCACACCACCAAAAAAACCCCTTCAAGTTCTAGAAGGATGGTTTGGGGTCAAAGCATATATTTATTTTGATTGCTCTTCCAGTGGACTAGAATTTAACTCCTAACTACTTGTTACTCCAACTCCAGGGGATCTGACACTTCACCTGCTTGGGTACCTGTGCTCATGTGCATATACTCAAGACACTTAAAATTTAAAAAAAAAAAATTGAAGATTACAAAGCCTTCTATTTCATGGATATAATGTAGATTTTTTTCTAGATAACATTCAAAACCCCTGTAATATAAAAACATAGATAAACATTAAGATAAATGTTCTGACATCTTTTCTCTTTTTCCTCTTGCCTTTCCTTCCCCCCTCCTTTCGTATATCCTAGAGTTTGAACCTAGGGCTCTAGAGCTAAACCTTGTTCTTGCCTATATTTCTAATTTTATGTTGGTTGTTTTGTTTTGTTTTGTTTTGTTTGTTTGTTTGCTTTTGGAGACAGGGCTTCTCTCTGTCCCTGGCTGTTCTGGAACCTGAACTCAAAGATCCACTTGCTTCTGCCTCTTGAATACTGGGAGCTACCATGCCTGGCTTCTTTTAATATTGGTTCTGGAAAGTTTATATCCCACACACAGGTTATAAACTTAATGTCCAATTTAAGAAACATCTTCTCCAGAGTTGTTTTTCTTCTGTACTGAGGGGTTCTTGAGACTCTGAGGCTGTTATTTGTCTCTCAGCAGATGGGAAATTGTGCTGTCCTAGCTAACCTTTCCTTCGGAGCTGTTATCTGCTGTGACTGTGGTGATACAATTCTACAAGAGTAGGGGTGGGCCTAACCAAAAGCAAGTGGGGTCTCTGTTAGCATTTCGATATCTGTACTGTACTGGCCTGCACTGCCCTGCCCTTAGGGTCCTGACAGGATACATCCTCAGCTGTAACCACTAAGAGCACCCCTGTGTGCATTTGCTAGTCTTCTTATAAAAGGCGGGCCTTACTCACCTCCTGTCTTTCTCTTCCTTGCTCCTGTTTCCAGGGACTGGTCTCTGTTCCCTTCTCTGCCCCTTCACTCCCCTCCCCTCAATAGATCTCCCATGTGGGCCCTGTTGTATGGTTTGATTCTTTCTCCTGCCTTTTTTTTTTTTTTTTTTTTTTTTTTGGTTTTTCGAGACAGGGTTTCTCTGTGTAGCTTTGTGCCTTTCCTGGATCTCACTTGGTAGCCCAGGCTGGCCTCGAACTCACAGAGATCCGCCTGGCTCTGCCTCCCGAGTGCTGGGATTAAAGGCGTGCGCCACCACCGCCCGGCTTCTCCTGCCATTTTTAAGGGCACTTGTCACCAAGCCTAAAACCATGCTTTTGACTCTGGAACCCACCTGGTGGAAAGAGAGAACCAACTCCTGCAAGTTGTGCTCTAACTTCTGCATGGGTACCATGGTATACATGCTCTCCTCCAGACACACACAAGTAGTGGTAATATATTACCAGAGTTTCCTCTGAACTGCTCCATCACACTGCATTAATTTACTTTTTTTTTTTTGTTTTGTTTTTTTTTTTTGTTTGTTTTTTTGTTTTGTTTTTTTTTGTTTTTTTTTGTTTTTGAGACAGGGTTTCTCTGTGTAGCTTTGCACCTTTCCTGGAACTCCGCTTTGGAGACCAGGCTGGCCTCGAACTCACAGAGATCCGCCTGCCTCTGCCTCCCAAGTGCTGGGATTAAAGGCGTGCGCCACCACCGCCCGGTGCATTAATTTACTTTTATTAATTTTCTTCTACCTTAATTTTCATAGTAGCCTGATGAGTTTAGTAATGAAATAAGAGAGTGACTTTCAGCAGCTTGTTTCTGTTTATCTCACTCTATACTCCCCCTCATTCCCCACCCCCCAGACAGAGCTTCTCTGTGTAGCCCTGACTGTCCAGGAACTCACTCTGTAGACCAGGCTGGCCTCGACTCACAGAGATCCACCTGCCTCTGCCTCCCGAGTGCTGGGATTAAAGGCATTTGCTACCACCGCTTGGCTACACTCCCATTTTTAGCCTATATTATTTTCATTTTACCTTGTTAAGAAGTCCCCAGAACCATGTGATCATACTCTTACATTCTGTGGCTTCATTTTAGAATCCTTACTGCTGCTGTTTTCCCTCAGGGTCATTTCTCTGCAGTAGAGGTTTTGAGTACTCCACTGGCCCCACTTGAAATCTTGTCATCAGATCTCATGTTGTCTGGCAAAGTGGTAAGTTTTCTTACAGACATGTTAAACCTTAGATAAGTTCTACCTCTTAAGTATCTTCCTCTCTGGAAGGAACAGATACAGATAAATGATTTGTCTTTAGTACTTTGTTATTGCATTATTATACTGAGAAAGAAAGATTTAAGTATTCCTGACAGCACAGTTGAGAATATTTAAGCAAACAAGACTTCTCAATGTCAGCCCAGAGCTAGGTTGCCAACCATAGTCAAATAAATTTTAATAGAGTTAAAATATGAAGTTAATTATAGATATTAAAAAAACCTAGTGAACATTATTTGAGTAAAATTTAAATTAATAGAATCTGATTATTTGGAGAATCAAGATGGTGCTGCTGGCCACTGCAACCTAAACGTCAGGCTCCTCAGGCTTCAGGCTCTTGGTGATGGCTGAGGCAGCTGTAGCTTTGGCCAGGGCCTTGATCTCTCCCAAGAGTGAGAGAGCTCTGGTGCCTCTGTAGCCTGGTGAGGCGAGGCCTGGCTGTGAGGAACAGCATGAGAGCAGTGCTAGCTCCTGGCAGCTACCATGACTGGGATCATCCTGGATGCTGAAAAGCCCCCAGACAACATCAAAGCCCCATGAGGTAGGAAGTGAGTAAGTAGATGGTGAAGTGATGGGAGAGAAAGAAGTGAGCAAATAGGTGGTAGAGAAATAGAAGATGAGTGGTTTGTGTGCTCTGAAGTGAGGCTGAATAGGAGACTTGAAGGCGGTTTCTCTTCTTGCTCCGTGGAAAAGGTAAAATATACTGCCCATCAAGAGAGCCAGTAACAAACACAAGTACTAGTGGGCTCATGAGTCTTCCTTTGAGAAAACCGACCGCTGTATGAGTCGCTGTGACTCCCAGAGCTGCATCCTAGCCCAGGCAGAAGAACAGTACCTGCAGAATGGAGACCATGTCTGACTGGACATGTCCTGCTGTGTTTACTTCTCATCACTGGTTGTAGTGGTTCAACCATGAGACTGGGCAACTCTGTTGAATTATAGTTTTACCGTGCTGCGTCTAACTTTGGCCAGAGATTAATTTCCTTTGGAAGCTTTGGATTGGACAAACACTTGAAGACACCCAGAGGCCTCACCCACCGCCATGCAGAGTGGGCAGGAAGAAGACTAGAGACTCCACCCAAGTAGTGGCCTGCCTGAAGCACAAGCCACTACTGTGTGCAAGTATGGGGTGGAGAGATGGGAGAGAAAGAAGCAGAACAGCTTGAGCATTATGAAGAGGCAGGTCTGGAGACATGAGGGTGGAGAGAAACAGCCCAATGTGAGAAGCCTATGATGAAGTCCTGGCCCATGCTGCTGCTGAGGGCCATGTCTGACTCCGTGGCCATATAGCAGCAGGGGTCTGTGTCAGTGTTCATGGCCTATGTCACCACCAAAGGCTGTGCGGATGTCCCTGGTCTGGTCTGAACTACTGCCTCAGACCACATTAACATCCACAGACTGCACAGAGTTGGCTCCACCCCTCACCATCTGCAGCACTTGGAGAGTGGGCCCTGAACCTTGCCTAAGCAACACAGTAGGGCTAGTCCTAGTAGTGGGGGTGAGGGTGATGCCCTCCCTGCTGTTGTCTCCTGCCCCTCACCTGGGCAACTCAGTAGAGCTGACCCAGTTGGTGGGGGTGGGGGAATTGGGGGTGTGCATGTGGGGTGAGCTAGCACTGCTATTTGTCGCACAAGGGAGAGATGCCCCTCCCTTCACTCCTCGCCACCTATGACAGGTGGGAGAGCGGGCCCTGGAGTCATGAGAACAGGAGAGTGGGCCCTGCATCTCACCTGGACAACACAGTAGAGCTGGCACTGGTAGTATGGGTGCTGGTGTGCCAGCCTGAAGGGCAGATCTGGCTCGCCCCTTGCCTGCATTGGGTAAGCTAGCTGGGGCAGTGCTGGAGAGCTTGCCCTGGTGGTGAGGATGCAGGCAAGCTGGCAGGCTGACCAACTAAGCTACCACCCAGGTCTAGATCCAGAGCTATGAGTTGACCTGTCCCAGGGTCCACCCCATCTGTGGACTACTGGAGTACATGAAGGGGCTGGTCCTGTAGATCCAAAACTGCAGAATCTCCAAGATACAGGGCAGCAAAAAGAATATCTGAGAAGAGTCCCAAGTGAAGATCCAGTATCGATGATGTAGCAGAAGCCAAAGGCCTCGAAGCAACCAATGACTCATTGCAATGAGCACTTGCAAGTAAAGATATATGGACTAAAGGGAGGAAAAAGAATCTGATTATTATTTTGAGAAAATAGTAGATATAGTAATGACTGAGTATCTTTCAAGATCTGACACTTACACTTTATTATGAATATCAATTTTTCAACAGCCCTGTAAGACAGATGGTGATACTGATGAAAATACTGAGTTAGAAAAGTTAAAGTATTGGCATTAGGTCATGTAGCCTGTATCTTGACGGAGCTAGCTCTTAAACATTTTGTTTTTCTCATTATACTATCTGAGTACTTCTAAAGTTTGAGTTTCAGCAGGGTAGAAAGTCAAGGATTTTTTTAATGCTGGATAGAGAAAAGTGTAAAGGGTGTAGTAATTAGGCCTGTCTGTGTATTTGAGAGTTATAGGTGGTGTATTTAAGTATATTAAATCACTCTTTTTGTTTTCAAGTGGGCATATATGCTCTTATTTAAAAGAAATGAATGTAACTTTAAGTGTATTGAATCTCTTTTTCAGGTGGATGTGTATGCTCTTATTTAAAGAAATGAGTGTGTCAAGTGCTGTATTGAGAGTTGAAACTTGGCTTTTGGCAACATGGCATGTTAAAGTGCCTCTAATGTGGCTGGAAGCTTGTGTTAACTGGATCCAAGAAGAAAATAATAATGCTAATTTGAGCCAAGCACAAGTAAATAAACAAGTGTTGGAGCAATGGCTTCTTACTGACCTGAGAGACTTGGAACATCCTCTCTTACCTAATAACATTTTAGAAACTCCAAAGGGAGAACTGAATGGATTTTATGCTCTACAGATCAATTCCTTGGTTGACGTAAGTCAGCCGGCATATTCCCAGATACAAAAGCTGAGAGGAAAGAATACAACCAATGATCTAGTTTCAGCTGAAACACAGATTACTCCAAAGCCATGGGAAGCAAGGCCTTCACGGATGCTGATGCTGCAGCTCACTGATGGTGTCACACAAATTCAAGGGATGGAATATCAGTCTATTCCAGCTCTCCATGGTGGTCTTCCTCCAGGTACAAAAATTTTGGTTCACGGATGCATTTTGTTCCGTCTTGGTGTTCTCTTGTTGAAACCAGAAAATGTGAAGGTATTAGGAGGTGAGGTAGATGGTCTTTCAGAAGAATATGCTCAAGAAAAAGTACTTGCAAGATTAATTGGTGAACTTGATCCTACAGTTTCAATCATACCAAATAATTCTGATCACATTTTGCCCAGAGTTCCGGGGGGGTTAGATCCTATTTTGGGACCTTCAGATGAAGAACTCTTGGCAAGTCTTTATGAAAGTGAAGAGCCTGCAGCAGATAATGACGCATCGGTGGAAGGAAGCTGTTTCGGCACAGGCAGTTCCTCAAATACTACTCCCACAAGTCAGCCTAGTTTTGAGCCAGGATGTGATACTTCTTCAAGGCAAAAGGAGAAGCCACCAAACAAATCTGTGCCTTTCACTGATGGAGAGTTTGATGACTTTTCACTGGAAGACGCCTTGCTTTTAGAAGAAACTGTCCAGAAAGAACAGATGGAAACAAAAGCATTGCAGCCACTAACTTTGAAGAAAAATACAGATAAATGTGTAGAGATATTTTCACATAAATCTAATACTCTGAACCACACTGCTTTAATTCATAAACAAGGAAACAGCAATTACAATGAAAAGTTATCTGAACAAATGATTGACGAAGACAAATTTTTTGGCTGTTCGTCTGCTAGAGACCATCATAAGAGACTCTTAGCCCATGATTTTACAAATGACAGCAAGACTTTGGAGGTAGATAACACAACAGAACCAAACATTGCCAGTTCAGATGAGCATTGCTTAAGTAATACAATGTTAAATAGAAAACTTGGAACCTGCATATCAGAAAAGAGTTCAGAAATTTCTAATGAAAATGACTACCCTTTACAGGCTTGTTCTTCAAGATCATTTGAGAATAATATTGATCTTTATATTGGCATGGACTTAAATTCTCCACCCTTTATCTATTTGTCTGTTCTAATGGCCAGAAAGCCAAAGGAAGTTACTACTGTGAAAGTCAAAGCATTTATTGTCACTTTAACTGGAAATCTCTCAAGCTCTGGGGGCTTTTGGGGTGTAACTGCAAAGGTTTCTGATGGTACCGCATATCTAGATGTAGATTTTATAGATGAAATACTTACCAGTATGATAGGGTTTTCGGTACCAGAAATGAAACAATTAAAAAAGGACCCTCTTAAATATCAAAAATTCCTAAAAGGATTACAAAAATGTCAACGAGATCTGATAGATTTGTGTTGCCTAATGACTATTTCATTTAATCCTTCTTCATGTAAAGCCGTGGTACTTGAATTGCAGGATGTTGGTGTGGAGCACCTTGAGAACCTAAAGAAGCGGCTGAATAAATAATTTGCCAAAATACTATTGGAGTACACTTTAAAACATGCAAATATTTGTAACCAAATTTGTTTATATTCTTATTTTTGGGATTCTGTAAAAGAAGAAAAAGCTTCGGAGCTTAAAAACGGGTGAGATGGTTCAGTGGTTAAAGAGACTTTCTGCCAAGACTGAGGACCTGAGTTTGATCCCCAGGTCCCTTGGGACTGAAGGAGAGAAACAACTCCCAGACTTTGTTGTCTGTCTTCCACAAATGCAGCATGGAGTACACACACACACACACACACACACACACACACACACACACACACACACACATACACACACACACACACACACACACACACACACACACACAATGACATTTAAAAATAAAGGTGTTTAATCAAAATGTATGTGTAAGGGTATTTTTGCTTGGTTTGGTGATGCTGGGCCAAGGTCTTGTAATGCTATCATAAAGCAACATCTCTAGACCCTTGATTTTTTTTTTTCCCCTTCCTGGAAACAGGATCTCATATTCCCAGGCTGGCCTCTAGCTCTTTTGTATAGCTGAGAGTAACCTTGACCTTCTAGTCTCTGGTCTCCATCTCCCAAGTGCCAGAACTAGGGTTGTGTAGGTTTAGTTGGTGCATTGGCTTAAAACCAGGGTTGTGTTTTTTAGGCAAATACTCTACCAACTGAGCTACATCCTCAGTCCTGCTTGTTGAAGAACTTTGCTGACCCATTCTTGCTGAGAATATAAGATAATTGATAAAGAATTGTGAATTGAATGTAAGATAACTGATAAAGAATTGTGATGAGGTGACAAAATGGCTTGGTAAAGGTGTTTGCTGTTGAACCTAATGACCTGATTCTGTTGCTGGTACTACATAGTGAAAGAGAACACTGTCTCCCACAAGATGTCCTCTGATTTCCACATGTGCCCCCACCACACACACACACACACACACACACACACACACACACACACACACACACACACACAAGTACACACAGTGAAATAAAACAATACACCTTTAATCCCAGCACTTGGGAGGCAGAGACAGGCGGATCTCTGTGAGTTTGAGGTCAGACTGTGCTACAGAGTAAGTTCCAGAAAAGGCTCAAAGCTACACAGAAACCCTGTCTCAAAAAACAAAAACAAAAAAACATAATAAAGAAATGTGAGGATGTTCCCCATGAGATACATTATTGAAAGTTAGAAATTATGAAAGTAATTTTACCTCTAATATGTTGACTATTTCCAAAAATTTGTGCTATTATTTAGGTGTCATTTTACATTTATTTGTATAGGTCAGAGGACAACCTGTGAGAGTCACTTTTCTCTTACCATGCAGATTCTGGAAATAAAATAGTCATAGACTTGGCAGCAATCACCTTTTACCTGCTAAACCATGACTGGCCCTATGTTTTTTGAGATGGCGCCTCACTATGTAGATCAGGGTAGCCTAAAATTCATGAGACATCTGACCTTTGAATTAGCTGTGCATATAAGTTACTTAATTTTGTTGTGATTGTTTTAAAGAGACTGTTTGGGAGGTGAAGTTATTTTTATTAATCCTTTATCTTAAAATTATAAGTAGGGTGCTGGTTAGATACTTAGTGGTTAAGAGCTGATTGCTACCCTTCTAGAGAACCCAAATTTGGTCCCTAAGATGGCCTGCTGAGCTGCCAGTAACCCCTATCTCCAGGGGATTTGACACCTTCTGGCTTCCCCAGGTGTGGTTATGGGCACAGTGTATATACACATACACATAATTTTAAAAAATGGTTTTTGAGACAGTTTCTCTGTGTAGTCCTGGCTGTCCTAGAACTTGTTCTGTAGACCAGACTGGCCTCAAAGGTGGAGATTCACTTGCCTCTAGTGAGTGCCACCATGTCTGGTTTCATAATTCAGAAAAACAGCATGGTAATGGAGGTAAGAGGATCAAAAGTTGATCATTCTTGGCTGCATAGAGCCCTGCTTGGACCACATGAGACTGTCTCAAAAAAAAATTTTTTTTTTAATAAAAGGATGCAAAAATGTTTTTCATTGGAAAAACCAGTTCAAAGCACAAGAATACAAATATGTATTTTTAATGTGTGTCTGCCATGTGTGTTTAGGTGCCCACAGAGGCCAAAAGGGCATCAAATCACCTGGAGCTGTAGGTGTGTGTAACCTGCCCAATGTGAATGCTTAGAACTGAATGTAGGTCCTCTGCAAGAGCAGCAAGTACTCTTAACCACTGAGCGTTCTCTCCAGTTCCAAAAATACAGATACTGTTGATACATACTCTCATAGTACTTCTGTCTGTATACTTAGGTATCTTTCACTGTGAGATGTGTATGTGTGTGTGTGACATTTTGTTCTTTTAAATAACAGTCTCTGTGGACTGTGATGGCTATTCTTGGTTATCAACTTGACTACATCTGGAATGAACTACAATCCAGAAATGGTGAGCGATTATTTTTGCTTGGTTTGAAGTAGGAATCGACTCTAGTCCAGACCTCTGAGGAAGACCGGTGATCCAGATTTCGAGATGGGAAGACACACCTTAAATCAGGTCCATACCTTCTGCTACAAGTCTGTATAAGGACATGGAAGAAGGAAGCATTTGCTTTTTTGTCAGCTTGCCCTTGCCTTGCTAGCATATCCATTTCTTCATTGGCATTGGAGCCTACTTCTTTGGGATTCCAGCATATACTGAAGGCCAGCTGAGTCATCCAGCCTTGTGGATGGAGCAACTATGGGATATTTGGACTTTCTGTTCACAGCAAGCCATTGTTGGATTAGCTGGAATACAGCCTGTAAATCATTCAATAAGCCCCCTTTATATAGAGAGATTGATTCTGTAAGTTCTGTTACTCTAGAGAACTTTGACTACTAATACATGGATGGTGCTTAAAAATATATAATTAGATCTTGATATTGCATCACTGAATAGAAGTAACAATCCATTGTTCTGTATTCCTGGTGTTTGTATTGGGGTGTTGTGGCTATCCCTCTGTACAAATAAACACTGATTGGCCGGTAGCCAGACAGGAAGTGTAGGCGGGACTAACAGAGAATTGAGAGAACAGGAAGGTAGAGGGAGAGACTGCCTGGAGCCGCCGCCAGGACAAGCAAGATGTAAGGTACCAGTAAGCCACGAGCCACGTGGCAAAGTATAGATTAATAGAAATGGGCTAAATATAAGAGTAAGAGCTAGCCGGGCGGTGGTGGCGCATGCCTTTAATCCCAGCACTCGGGAGGCAGAGCCAGGCGGATCTCTGTGAGTTAGAGGCCAGCCTGGGCTACCAAGTGAGTTCCAGGACAGGCGCAAAGCTACAAAGAGAAACCCTGTCTCGAAAAACCAAAAAAAAAAAAAAAAAAAAAAAAAAGAGTAAGAGCTAGACAATGATAGGCCTGAGCTAATGTCCAAGCAGTTTAAATAATGTAAACGTCTGTGTGTTTATTTTATAAGTGGGCTCTGGGACTGGCGGGACCCAGAGAGAAAAGCTCTTCAGCTACATTGGGGTTCTTTAGAGGAACAGAACCAATAGAATGAATATATATTACAAAAGAGATTTACTAAATTGGGTTACACCATGTTGGCATGGTAGTCCATCAGTGGCCATCTGCATACTGGGGAGGCTGGGAGCCAGGCTAAGTCTGGTTTGATGAGACTTGGTACCCCAACTGTCCCAGTCTGATGCAGAAAGCCTGAAAGGTTTCTGAAGAGCTACCTGACTTTGTGTTGGAAGGCCACAGAAGATGGGTTCCTATGTCTGTGAAGGATGGTGGCAACAGCCTCAGAGAGCTTTGTACCTGGGCTGCTGCTAGAAAGTGCTATTCATCTGGGGGAGGGGCTTCCCTCAGTTCTTCCAGGAAACACCCTCACAGACCTGCCCAAGGGTATATCTTTTTTTTGGGGGGGGGTTTTCGAGACAGGGTTTCTCTGTGTAGCTTTGCGCCTGTCCTGGAACTCACTTGGTAGCCCAGGCTGGCCTCGAACTCACAGAGATCTGCCTGCCTCTGCCTCCCGAGTGCTGGGATTAAAGGTGTGTGCCACCACCGCCCGGCAAGGGTATATCTTTTATTTGATTCTAGATCCAGTCAGTTGGCAACCAAGATTTGGTTCTGAGTCTAATCTGATCTGGATTATGTTTAGTGGTTTATTAATTGGTTTTAATTTTGTTGTCAAACCATTCTTCATAATGTTGCAAGAGTGACTGTTTTTTTTTCCTGAGACAGGGTCTCTCTGTGTATCACTGGCTGCCCTGGAACTCAGTCTATAGACCAGTCTGGCCTTGAACTCACAAAGATCTGCCTGCCTCTGCCTCCTAAGTGCTGGGATTAAAGGTGTGCATCACCATCACCTGGCTGATCTTTTTTTTTAATTAATTTTTTCCTTACAATATATTTGACCATATTTTTCTTGCCCCCAATTCCTCAGATCCTACCCACCTCCCTACCTACCCAGCTTCTCTCTCTCAAAAAAAAAGTCAAAACAAACAATAAGGAAAATAATAAAAAGTGTGCATACACTGTTGTGTGCTATTTTGTTTCTGTTCTGAAAATAAGCTTGCTTGGAGTTAGAGGGCAGAGCTAGCCACTAGTTAGCCATAGAGGTCTTGAGGTCTGTCTGTACAGGCAGAAGACAGGATTTCAGCCCTTTTGGTTAGAGGAATGGAAGAGGTAGGGAAGTCACTGATGGCTAGTCCCCTGCTTCTCTGATCTTTCAGGTTTTTACCCCGATATCTGACTCATGGTTTTTATTGATAAGATTAATTTAATTTATGCTCCAACACACACTAAAACAAAACAAACAAAAAGCCTATGGTGTCTATTTCATGTTAACCAACAACTTCTGGGCATGGAGCCTACCCTGGAGTGTGTTCGATATACTCAGTGATGCTCAGTTGGAGAAAACTGATTTCCCTTTCCCAGCAGTTATCAATTGCAAATACCTTCTCGATTAGAGGTGGGACTTAGTGTCCATTTCCCCTCTTTGTGCTAGGATTGTGTCTGGTTTGAACCTGCGCAGGTCTTGTGTGTGCTGCCACAGTCTCTGAGTTTATACATGATCTGATCTGTTGTGTCTGGAAGATGTTTTCTTGGTTACAACTTAGAATCTTTCTGATTTTCTCCTTGTTTTCTCATCATTCACCTTTAATATCAATCTCTTGCCATTCTCTTAATTACTAGGTAAAGTCCAAACTCCTTACCCAATTTGTGATCTAGCCTGACTTCCTTTTTTGTTTCGTCTTGCCCCTTTTTTCCTGCCCCTGAGTTTTACTCACCCCAAATTGTTTGTAGTTGCCCAAATCTGTATAGGAGTGTATCTCCCACTTAGGTACTTCTGCTCTTAGTGCTCATATTCCCTACCGCTTCCCCATATATCCAGCTCAGTTAAAGCATTAATTGCCCGTCTCAGTGTTTCATGAGCTAGACTATGGGCTTCAATGCCTTTTTGTGCATCTTTCAGACTGATTCAGCTGTTTTACTAGCTTGCCTGTTTCTCTATCACTGCGCTGCTGGATGTTTTCACAGAATAACTTGCTGTCATGTGCACAGTAGGCTGTTAGGAGCATCACTGGTCTGTACACACCATGCCGATAGCATCCTTCTAGTTGTGATGTTGCTAAATCTATCCTAGGGGAAAATACTTCCATTTAAGAACTGTTGCTCTGCTGGGACATAAGCTGCCTGAGCTGTGGGGCTAGGCAATTGGCCTGTGTTAATGTATTGATGGTTCTGTCAGACCAGTTGTCTACCCCCTTGCTCAATACCTAGTTACTTTTCTTGTTACTGTGATAAAATACACTGACAAAAACAACTTAGTGAAGAGAGTGACATTTCATTGCAAGACATGTACAAACAGTAAATTATCAGGGACTATGGGGGTCTAGCCCCTCGATAGTCCCCTCCCAGGGTCCGGGAAGAATCTACAACCAGCTGATAATTAATCTTTGATGAAAAGAAATGAATCTGTGTACAAGAAATTCCTCAGTCCATATACTTTATTACTCTGTGTCAGTTACAGGTTTATATTCTCTCTCATATTTGGCTCCTTTCTTGCCTGATTTCTCTCTACTCTTATCTGTGGTCCCCTCTAGGTTCTATCTTAATTCCTTCATCTTAGTTCTGCCGCTTCTAGGTTCTGATCCATCTTGTTCTTTCCCATATCATCTCCTCTCCCATCTCCTTCTCTCTCATCTGTTTCTTCCTCATCTTGTTCTTCCCCATCTGGCTCTTCCTCATCTTCCATCTGGTTCCTCTAGTACTTTCTTCTAGCCTTTCAACCTAGTTCTTCTTCATCTCAGTTTGTTCCTCTCAAGTTCTTACCCATCTAGTTCTTTCATTCTCTTTTCTCTTCTCCGTCCTCCTGTGCCCTGGAAGTCCCGGTATATATACACTTACAAGCAGTAATCCCTTGGCAGTGCAAAGCCAGGCTTCCAGGGTCAAATGGAGGGGTGATAAGAATCACATAAGAGGCAGTAATTGTTAATTATCATTTGCAACCCAAAAGGGAAGTGACTAATGGGGAAATGAATTAACTAAAGGCTAAATTTGGGTAATATCTAAGAAGAGGGATCTTATGTGCTCAACTATAGTCTTAAACGTGATTGGTAGAAAATGTTAAGAATCTAGCCAGGCGGTGGTGGCACATGCCTTTAATCCCAGCACTCGGGAGGCAGAGCCAGGCGGATCTCTGTGAGTTCGAGGCTAGCTTGGTGTACAGAGCGAGATCCAGGAAAGGCACAAAGCTACACAGAGAAACCCTGTCTCGAAAAACCAAAAAAAAAAAAAAAAAAAAAAAAAAAAAATGTTAAGAATCTATAAGTTGCTAGGTCAGTGGGAGAAAATAAAACTGCCTTTTTTCCTGTGGCTCCTGTCTGTCCAAGCTATCTGCCGTTTTTCTGCAGGGTGGGGGGAAGTGTGCTCAGTCGCTAGGCAACCTGTGTACAGCTAGATGCCTCTGGTGATAGTTAAAGGGAGATCTGGAACTAGAGGTAAGATTTGGGAAAGGAGGAAGTTAAGCTTAATTGGCACATCCACCAGGCCTTCTCAAACAGGTAGCCTGGATGCTTAAGTCTGTTCTTAGAGAGTACAGAGGTATCTCTGATAAGATACTTTCCTCCACCTGGGGATGGACCTGGCCGGATGCTGCCAATGATGATAATTACAGGGAGGCTTGAACTGGGGTTCTGGCTGAGCATAGCTGTCAGCGCAGAAGGTTATCTAAATATTCCTAGAAGTGGTTAGGTAAGGAGTTAGAGGTCTATAAAGTTAGTAAGGCTGTAAGAAAGGAGGGTCTGAGCTAAATTGTGTAAAGCTATTACTTAACATTCACTTGACCTAGGCAGTGTCTCCTTGTGGAATTTGCCTTAAATCAGGAGACTTTCATGTGGACTGTTATTACTGTTAGTCCTTAAAAGTGGCTAAGGGAGATATCTGATTCCAGAGAAAGCCTTTTCTAAGGCTGTTCTCCAAATACCTTGAATGTGTATGTCCAGAGAGTGATCAGTCCACACTGTTAGCCCTTCTTAGGGAAAAATCAATTGGGAAAACTATGAAGGCACACATGATTTTCATAACAGAAGACAGCTGATATATAACAAGCCAAATAACACCAAAAGCTCCTTGGAATTTGGCTTCCTCTGGAGGAATTCCTTGATCCCTCCAGGTAGTGACTTTGCCATAACCAGCTGAGTTCTTATGATATATTCCTGTGGCCCGCAGCAGTAAATGAGCATATGAAGACTTGAGATATTATCAGTGATTTAGAGCTCTTACTGTTCTTTTAGAGGACCTGGATTTAATTCCCAGCACCATGTTAGGTAACTGAGAACTCCAGAGAATCCGACACCTATGGCCTCAAAAAGCACCTGCCCTCATGTGCAGATACCCCCCCAGTACCTCCCCCATTATAAACCTTTTATTTTTAGTTTTTTGAGATGGGGTCTGTAATATATAGTTCTGGC